ATCTCTATCCGGTAACATAATTGTAAATCTTCACATAAATACAAATCTCTAAGTAAAAAGAAAAATGAAACAGTAAAACAGTAAAACCAGTGAAGATAAAACCATATTTAGGGACTCACCGAGAATTCTAAGAAAGGCAAATCAAGCCTAGAATATATGACTAGTGACTACAAATGAAGAAGAATCATCTTGAAGAACAAAGATTTGATGATGGTGGATGAATGATAGCGATGATAATGATGATGACAATAGCTAGAGAGAAAAATAGAGATTAAAGGAAGAATATAAATTGTGTGAAATAGCAATACTGCCTTATACATAAAATTTTCATTTAAAAAAAAGTTTCATAAATGACAAACCACCAAGACTCAAATTAAAATAGCTGAACCAACACATAAGATAAACCAAGACAAATATGACGAAACGGATTGTATCATGTTACAACAAAGCTGTGACTTGTTATTTCGACAGGAAGATTTAGAACTGATGGAAGACCTTGGAGCCAATAGCTATCGATTTTCTTTATCGTGGACTCGGATTCTTCCAAGTGAGATTCTTGTTTTCTTGATTTATGTCTCTCTTCATCAAACTCAAAATCCGTTTCTGTGTGTTTGCAGATGGCAGGTTTGGAGATGTGAACATGAAAGGTATTGATCATTACAACAGAATGATAAATGCTATTCTCAAAAGAGGTAATAACTGATAGAAATGTCTTACGACCAAAGAAAACACCAAACTTAGCTCAATATACCATTCTCAGGGATGGAGCCATTTGTTACTTTGACACATTATGACATTCCTCAAGAACTAGAGCTTAGATACGGAAGTTGGCTTGACCCCCAAGTCCGGTTAGTTAGTATACACATGCATTATGTCACACGTTGGCACGGTCACGTAAACTGATACGCTAAAACGTTACAAATATTGATTTTCTTCCAGGGAAGATTTCGAACACTATGCAGAGATTTGCTTCCAACACTTTGGGAACAGAGTTAAGTTCTGGACTACGTTCAACGAACCAAACGTTCAAGTAATTTTGGGTTACCGGAAAGGGACTTACCCGCCATCACGTTGTTCCAAGACTTTTGCAAACTGCTCACGTGGCGGTTCTGACATAGAGCAACTTGTTGCTGCTCACAACATTATCCGGTCACATCTAGCCGCCGTTTACTTATATCGGACAAAATATCAGGTGAATCGAGATCATAGTACCGTATCTGAAGTTTCATAAGGGACAAAATGTCACATCTAAAAAATATCTTCACTAATATTATATGAAAGATGACCAATACACTTATCATTAATTGCATAATAAGAACCCAAGCCAAAAAGCTTTAGATCCTATCCAACTTTAGATGTTTTTAATAAAACCAGTTTTTAACTCAAGAGTTTATTTCACTAGTTGCATATTCCCCGCGCTTGCGCGGGGCCGGGATAATTGTGTTTGCGTGTATTTTTTTCGATTGTTGGTTTAGTGGATTCTTCTAATGACACCAAATAATAATGAAATGGAAAGAATGTAGTAAGAGTGTAAAGTCGAAATATTGTATATATAATGTGTTAAATGTTATTTATATGTGAAGTAAGGTTTATAGGAATAGTCAGGCTATAATATAGTTTTTAGTGTGTAAAAGTAGGTGTCTATTTTTTTTATGTAAATAGTTTTTATATCATAGGTCGAAACTTGATATAATTCTATATTTATAGTATTTATATTTGTATTAAACGATTTATCAATTTGAAAATAATCTTAATTAAGTTAATATTCGTTGTTTAAGTTTCATTAGATAGGTTTTTATATATGGTTTTTTGTAAGTTTGGGTTTTGTTCATAAATAATGTGGCATTTTATCTACGGCGTCATCGACTGTGGGAATCCATTCGCCGGAGTCTAGAGTCGGTGGTAAGGAATGTTTTCAATGAATTATAACAGTTATTAAAATGTAAGAGAAATTACATATTCATTTAATAAAAAATGAAAATACTTAAATTTTGTTGTTCATTTTATTTTATTTCACATACAATTTTTTTGAAAATATATTAGGAATGTGTTAAATGTTATTTATATGCGAAATAAGGTTTATAGGAATAGTTAGGCTATAATATAGTTTTTAGTGTGTAAAAGTAGGTGTTTTTTTTTTTGCTGTAAATAGTTTTTATATCGTAGGTGAAAACTTGATATAATTCTATATTTATAATATTTGTATTTGTATTAAATGATTTATCAATTTGAAAATAACCTTAATTAAGTTAATATTCATTGTTTAAGTTTCTTTAGATATGTTTTTATATATGGTTTTTTGTAAGTTTGAGTTTTGTTCACAAATGTTGTGGCATTTTTATCTACGGCGTCATCGACTGTGGGAATCCATTCGTCGGAGTCTGAAATCGGTGGTGAGGAATGTTTTCAATGAAATTATAGTAGTTATTAAAATGTAAGAGAAATTACATATTCATTTAATAAATAATGAAAAATAATTTAACTTTGTTGTTTTTTTATTTTATCTCACATACAATTTTTTTTGAAAATATATATTAGGTAATATGTGCAATGCTTTAACTTTTTGAGCTCTTAATCTATATTATTCAAGCCTCATTAAGCCATCCACGTAGGCAGACGCGTGAGACTTTTTTTTTGGTATGTTCATTTTTGGATCCATTTTTATTATTTTTGGGTTGAGCTATAGTATAATAGGATAGTTTTAAGGCTTTTAAAGCCATCCGCGTAAGACTTGTTTTTTTTTTCTTTTTTTTATTGTTCATTTTTGGATCTATTTTTAACTATTTTGGGGTTTGAACTTGTTAAGCTTTAGGTTTAACCAACTATTTGGATATTTAAAACAATAAGCCCAAAAAATAAACATATAACCTTATAAACATAAAACCCATATGATAATAACCCAAATCAAAAATACATGATAGTTGTGTGGTTTGAACCCACGATCTTGCATAATTAATTAGATACCTTATACCACTTGGCTAAAGTGTATTTCATTGTTTCTAATAATCTTACCAAGACTATAAATTTTTAAAAAATATCTATGGGACCCACAAAACTGCTGACGTGGCGCATTGTGGAGCCTAGAAAGTCTACTATTATAATATAGATTTATGTAGGAACAACAAAGAGGAAAGATTGGTATTGTTATGAACACAATCTGGTTTGAACCGGTTAGTGATTCTTTAGCAGATAGATTAGCTGCTGAGAGAGCTCAAGCTTTCTACTTGACTTGGTAAGTCACTTCGGTTTAAGATTCTAATTCCCAAGTCAAACCAAATACCGGACTTATAGAACCAAAAGAGTGAAAATTCAGGTTCTTGGACCCGGTTGTGTTTGGGAGATATCCAAGAGAAATGCAAAATATTCTTGGAGAAGATCTTCCTAAATTCACAAAGGATGATCTTAAAAGCTCCAAGGCTGGATTAGACTTCATTGGGGTTAATCAGTATACAAGCAGATACGCAAAAGATTGTCTCCATACCAAATGTGAACCGGGCCAAGGAGGCTCGAGAGCTGAAGGTTTTGTCAATTCAAACGCTCTTAAAGACGGTCTATCTTTAGGAGAACCGGTATGTAGAGACCAACCAATTCAAAATAAAAACTATTGACAGAAACATTTTTGAACTTAATTTTTTGGTGGTAATGATGCAGACCGGAGTAAGCTGGTTTAATGTTTATCCTCAAGGAATGGAAGAGATGTTGATGTATGCAACAAAGCGGTACAGAAAGATTCCATTGTACGTAACAGAAAACGGTAAGCATGAAGTGCCGGTCTGTGCCATGATAAAACTATCGTCTTTGACCTCAATTTTTTAAGAAGATAATATACATAGTTTTGGCAGTTCTGATTTTTTTTTTTCATTTTGATAAATCTTTATACTAAAATGTTTATAACCTCCAAAATATTAGCGGCCATTCAAGCATGTGTCCTAGACTATTAGTCTGTGCGGTATTTGGTGGAAGTTTGAAATCTTGTATCTCCTCACTTTGGCAGGTTTTGGTGAGAACAATACAGGAGTATTGTTAAACGATTACAGGAGAGTGAAGTTTATGAGTAACTACTTAGATGCCCTCAAAAGAGCAATGAGGTAACAATGCTTTAGCTCACATACGTGTTGATTCTTTAAAACCCTGAAAGCTAATGGTGAAAACAGGAAAGGAGCTGATGTAAGAGGCTACTTCACCTGGTCTTTACTTGACAACTTTGAGTGGATATACGGTTATACCATAAGGTTTGGCATGTACCACGTTGATTTTCATACTCTAGAGAGAACCCCACGACTATCAGCTTCTTGGTACAAGAACTTCATTTTCAAGCACAAGGCTCAATCCAAAGATAATGATGATGATGCATGAAACAAAAAGGAATACCCATATGGTTGTCTTTCTTGTTTGGTTCTTCAACAAAGCAGGAAAGTAATGTTATAAAAACTGTTTTATGAAAACAAGTTCAAATAAATAAGACATTCCATTGCTTATAAGTTATAACAAACCAAGTATTCGCCTCTCACTTGCATGAGGTATGTTCCTCAAGTCACCAACCAATGGTGTCCTATCCCCACAACCCGCAAATTGAGCCCTGATCTGAAAAACCATTTGACGCAACAACTGGATGATCCCAACACATTCAGATAAGATACGTGCAAACTGTATATGTTGATAGATTGTCTTAAAATGCATGTTCTTATTGGGTGTGTGTTAACACTTGAAACGGCCTAGCTAGAAGGATTTTTTCATGCGTAGTTCCAAACCAGAATATTATACTTAATTAGGTTGGAAAGTTGCAAGGTAGGAGTTTTGCTTCAACAAAATGATTGAAATTTCTTTAAATTGATTAGAAGTAATAACCTTTTGTAGCCCCAGAAGATTGTTGTTATGTTTCTACTGCAACATACTCAGACTTTACTTTACTTGCAAGAAACAGGGAAACAGAATGTTATAAATGTTATAACTTCATTTTCATGCCAGTTATATCAAATGTGATAATCACATAGCTTCATTGATTATAGTCATCCTATTTCTCTGTTACATTATTGTGCTTTGTATTTGTTTTGGATTATTTTCTTACTGTGGAATAGGTGTCCGGTTGGAGCAATAAACTTGGATTGAAAGGTGAAGCACTAAATCTATACGTTACACTAAAGTTCACACTCCGAATGCTAGAGAACAGATGATTTAATACCATCTCTGGCACAAGCGAATACATTTGCAGCTGCCTTTAGTATCGGCTGCGTACTGAGTTTGAGAAGACAGAACTCCAAAAATGGATAACTGACTCTAATGTAAAGGTTTCTTCAGTGACCACCTCTGTTTAGTGATCTTCATCCTATGGTTTTCAGTAGGTTAATGAGTTCAACTGCAGCTTATAGAGCGCAATACAAGAACCGATCGAAGAGCCATTGATACGATCCAGAGACAAATGATGTTGGAACTTGGTAAACTTCACACATTCATGGGCACGGCAGATAATCCTGAGGTCAAGAAGAGAATATAATTATTTTTAGTGGCTGATAGTTTCAACTACATCGTGATGCTAAAGAATGATCTCTTTGCTGTCTTCGGGGATGCTCAAGTTTCGTCTGTTTCTGATCATATTCGAGGGAAATGACGCAAGGCCACATGGACCTTCAAAATCTAAATCACTGAATTTTTGTTTGATTTGTTCTGTGCACATACACGTTTCATATTTATTTCCTTCACTTCACTTGCCGCTTTTGATGGACTCCCCAGTTTTTCTCTTTTGTTTTTTTTGTATTCGCTATTTGTTTGTATAGTAAAATCTATTATCAATTATTTAAAAATGATTTGATGAACTTTAGAGCAGTTTAAATGTCCGAAGCTTTCTTATGTAAAGAAACGCACACGAGTTTTTTGATGTCTAATCTTAATTCTTGATACATCTCAGACACGTCGTTACCTAATATCTCCCTTGTTATGAAAACATTATCTTAATATATGCATGTGGAAATGAACTCATTCTTTTATTCTTCACGTTACATCTCTTTTATCAGAAAACATGCTTAATAATAGTACATTATTTTAAGATCCGCGTCTTGCGCATAATGAATACTAGGATAAGACATGCGCCTTGCGCGGAATGAATCTATTATTTTTTATTATGTTTTGAAAAATGAAACAATAGTTCGGTTTCATTCGGATTGGAGGTGTTCAATCTGGATATCGGGTTTCGGTTCGGTTCGATTTTTTGGTATTTTGATTATTAAAATTTAACTACTATTATAAATCTATATGTACTTCAGTTTGATTTGATTTATATACCATCTGTTTTCAGTTTAATCAATTTTACACCAAAAAACATAATTATTTAGTTTGAGATCATCTTATATATTATACAAATATATAATATGATCATATTTAGAGTCATATTGTCACAGAGTCATTTATTAAAAAAATGTTATATATTTAAATAAAAAAAGGCTTCTATCATCTAATAAAATGATCAAATCTAGCATTAATATCAAAACACTAAATTTTGAAAATAAAATAAAAAACAAAACAGAAGCATGAAAGAAAAGTTTTTATATTCTTTCATATTTAGTGTTCATCAAACCAACATGTCTTCGATTGAACACAACTCTGTTTGTTTAAAGATAAAAAAAAGTTGTAAAGAATTTCAACTAATTGTTGTCCATCAAATTTATAATCTTTACTTCAATTTAGTTACTGTTAAAAAAGCAAAAGATCAAAATAAGAAGTCTCAGTTGTAATAAATTGTTAGCTATTTACAAACTATAATAATAATTCAACTCATGTAACAAATAGATATTCATGCGTCGTTATAAATATATACATATTTACATGTTTCAGTTTAATCGGTTATAAATCAAACCATATCCAAATCCTATGGTTTTTATAAAATCACATCCATTTGGTTTGTATGGTATATACCAAAAATAATCATATTATCGATTGTTAATATCTTTTAAAAATATAAAATAAAAAAGAACTAAGATTTTAAAATCATTGATAACAAAAATTTTCAATGTGAAAAATTTAATAAGTTTATAATTTATAAATGTTCTTGAAAATTTATTGAAAATTTTGAAATTAAAATATTTATGTAATCTTATATGGTATATAGTTTAATCTGTATATATATATGTTTTATTATTGAATGATACTTCTTACTTATATGGTTTTAAAATCATGTATATCTTTTTATAATAAAAATGTTAAACTATTGATCATTAATTTTTAACATAATAATTTTAATAGTCTAGTTATTTATTCTCGTTTTTTAAAATTCAAAATATAACCTATACGACTAAAGTTTAATTTTATAGCTAATTTGATTGTTTAATTATTTTAGTAATATAAAATTAAAGAAAAATGATGGAGGATATATAAACTGTTATCAAATATTTATTATTATAATCATTAAGTGTCATATATATATATATATATATATATTAGTCATTTATGGTAATTCCGTATGTTTTATTTATGGAAAGAAAATAAAATAGTAATTATATCTAGGGGAACAATCATAAATGCTTCTATCATAAATATCATATCATATCATCATATCATATAATTTGACCAACGAATGTATCTAGCGACATATAAAAATCGAATATGGACCTACTTATTTTTCAATGGAATGTAATTGACTACCTAATTGAGTGACACCTAAGCATGGGGTCATTTTTAATTATTACAAAATTGAGGTTACAATTTTTTAAATGTTTCTCCTTTAATATATAAGGGATTTTATACAAATCTTATACATATACTATTATTTATTTTACATTTTACAGTTATAACTAAGAATAATTAATATATATTAAATACTTGAAAAGCAAGTAACTATTATATATATTTAAATTAACGCTAACATATAAATCAAAATAATTATTTTTATTTATAATTATTTTATGATAAATAAATCAAAACAATTATATGTACCTATGTTTATGGTATTAGTTAAATCTAAATGAAATTAACATACATATATAGTATGTTTTTAATATAATTATCTATTAAATAATACTTCATACTCATATGATTTTATGATTATTTGTAATTTTAAGAACACAAATTTCAAACAGGTATAAACAAAAATTTCAATGGGGAACTTATAATCATTTTAGAAATTTCTAATTCTTTTTAAATATTCAATTCAAATTGTAAAATTAAAATATTAAGTTCTCAATTCTTATTCAACGAAAAATTGAAAAGTGTAAAATCATATGATATATAGTTAATTTAAACAATATTAAAATATATATACTTTTCGATGAATATCAAAATTTATTGAACAAAAGCTAAATGTGACATATATAGGGTGGTGTGAGAGCTATCTATAAAAGAATGAGATTTTTTTTTTTATAACACTGATTTATTGTGACATTACAATTATGAAAAAGATTATATAGACGATTCGACAACCGACAATACGACCTGCCTTCTAAGAATCTACTATGAAGAGCCACTCATGACCAGATTTACCGTACCATGTTAAAGAGTCCTTAGTATTAATAAATCGTTTTTTCGGGACTTAAAATCTGAATTTCCTATAATTGGAACAAATTGCATAGTCAGAGGTTCGAATTCCAGATCTGGGTGTAGAAAAATCTTTAAACCTTAACCAGTAGGCTGCGGTGCTTCTACGTCTATAAAAGAATGAGAATGATGTGCTAATGAATAATAGAGTTTAGTAAGAACTAACTTCAAACCATCTCCTGAACAAACCTTCCAACTTGTGCACACTAGTGTATTGTAAAGAGGAGATACAGTTTGAAATGATTATATCAATGGTACGACTAAAAAAATCAACCAATGCTGAAATTACTACTTTCTGGTGCTCTGCGTTCATTCTTCCAAAGGCGTGTATCCAGAGGCGGACCTATTCACGTTAATGGGGTGGCAGTTGCAACACCATTAATTTGAAAAACTTTTTTAGCCTATGTACTTTTCCATTAAAATATAGGTTTGCCATCCATTAAATTTAGTTTTGTCACTCCATAAACTATAGCCCAATGATTAATACATAAACTACTGAATGTCCACTAAATTTAATTGACGCCCAAACATAAATAAGTAATGTTTACAATTGAATAAAGGAAAACTAAGTTTAACTTCAATAATTTACAAACTTAAAACCCAAATACATTAAGTCATAATTGGATTTTTTTTAATCTTCGACACCTTGTCGTCGTCTTCTTCTAAACTTCATCAAGGTATCAATTTAAGATTTTTTTAATCTCTTCTTAGCTGGTAGGTTCATATTAAAAATAGTAATTTAGTTTCTTCTTATTGATTCTAATTATCCAACTATAAGTTATTTTAGTAATTTTTTTTTATTTGCAGACATATGGATAAATTTTGGATACATTTGAAAAGAAAAACTCCATCATTACCATCTCAAAGTGAATCAAATGGTTTGGATAATCTACCATGAGATCCTGCCGATCGGAAAAGAATATCAAAATATCATGCAAATCAAAGAAACGAGGTAATCTGAAATATCTAATCAGAGGTCCTTGTCAATCCCGTGGTCATAATTTCAAACAATCACTGAAAGGAGGTGTATTGCGACGGTTTAATCCTGCTTGGTTTGAACAGTATAAGAATTGGTTAGAATATAGTGTGAAGAAATATGTAGCTTTCTTTCTACGTTGTTACTTGTTCAAGGATAATGTTGGTAAAGGTGGAAGGAATGATGCATGCCATTGATGGTTTCTCTAGTTGGAACAAGCCCAAAAACATTTTAGAGCATGTAGATAACAATTTTCACAACAATGCAGTAATGAAGTGTCAAAACTTGATAAAGAGGACCAGTTTATAAAGGATGCTTTGCATAAACAAGATGATATTACGAAGAAATGAGTATCGAATCAGGGTAAATGCTTCCATTGATACTTCCAGATTTTTGTTGAGACAAGGGTTACCTTTTCGTGGTCATGAAGAGAAAGACGAAGCTGCTAATAATGGTAACTTTATTGAACTCTTGAAATACACTGCTGAGCAAAACGAAGTTGTGAGTAAGGTTGTTTTAGGAAATGCTCCTGGAAACAATCAGATGACTTCTCCAAAGATTCAGAAAGATATTGTGCATTGTTTTGCGGAAGAGTTAGTCAAAAGTATTATTGAAGAAACTGATCATGATGTATTCGGTTTGTTGGTGGATGAGTCTGCTGATGCTTCTTATAAAGAACAGATGCCAGTAGTGTTTCGTTTCATCGACAAAAGTGGAATAATCAAAGAGAGATTAATAAGTCTTACTCATGTAAGTGATACGTCTTCATTAATTTTGAAATCTGCTATTGATTCTTTGTTTGCTAAGCATGGATTAAGCATTACAAAACTGAGAGGACAAGGTTATGATGGAGCAAGTAACATGAAGGGTGAATTCAATGGGCTAAGGTCACTAATCTCAAAGGAAAGCACATCAGCATATTATGTCCATTGCTTTGCTCACTGGCTTCAATTGGTTGTTGTGGCAGTTGCCAAAAAAAATTTGATGTTGGGAATTTTTGTGATATGATTTCCTTGTTGTTGAATGTGGTGGGAGCTTCATGCAAAAGGAGAGATTTGCTCAGAGAAAGTCACAGAGAAACGATTGGGAAAGAAGCTAATGATGGTGAACGTAAAACCGGAAAAAGGTTAAACCAAGATGTTTCTGTTCAGAGACCAGGGATGACTCCTTGGGGTTCACATTATAGAACTTTACTGCGTGTAACTGAGTGTTTCTATTCAATCTTTAAGGTGCTTGAATGTGTTCAAAAAAATGTCAAGATGACTCGAAAAAGCGTCAAACATATGGTCTCCTAAGTTATGTCAATAGCTTTGATTTTGTGTTCTATATGCAAGTAATGGTGCACCTTTTAGGAGTGACAAATAGTTTGTCCTTGTCTCTGCAAAACAGAGATCAAGATATCTTGAATGCAATGTCATTGGTGAAATCAACTAGAAAATAATTGGAGAAATTTAGAGATGATGGATGGAGTTCTCTTATGATTAAGGTTTCTTCTTTCCGGAAGAAAAATAATATTGAAGAGCTTGACATGGAAGAGGTTTTCATTGACTTAAAGAATCCAAGGAGAAAAACATCAGTTACAAATGGACATCACTATAAGGTTAATTGCTTATATACAATTTTGGATCTACAACTTCAAGAATTTAATGATCGCCTTAACGAGGTGAACACTGAACTGCTTATTTGTGCTGTTTCTTTATCTCCCATTGATTCGTTCTCTCAGTTTAAGAATTGAAGATTGATGAGGTTAGCGACTTTCTATCCATATGACTTTGGTCATGTAGAATGCATATCTCTTGAACATCAGTTAGATACCTATATTGATAACATTCGAAGTGACGATAAATTTATTCATTTAAAAGATCTGGGAGAACTTGCTCGTACTCTGGTGGAAACCCAAACGTATATGTCATTTCCTTTGGTTTATAGGTTGCTGAAGTTAATATTGATTTTGCTTGTTGCTACTGCAACTGTGGAGAGAATTTTTCCAGCTATGAAGATTGTGAAGACATATCGACGGAATCGGATTGGAGATCAGTTTTTGAATGATTGTTTGATTTGTTTATCGAAAAAGATGCATTTGAAAAAATCACAAATGAAATTGTGATGAAAAGGTTCCAGAACATGAAAGATCGTAGGATTGTATTTTAGTTTTTTTTTTATAATTTATGAAACTTTTAAAATAGTTATATTTTCAATTATATATTGACACAGGTTAAAAATATTTCTGGGTCCGCCACTGCGTGTATCACCAAAATCAATTCTCTATGTGGCCAGTTTCTGTCGAAAGGAACCTTAGACGATCATCATTTAGCTAGAGTTTCATGGTAAGAGGTCAATAAACCTAAGGAGGAAGGAGGTCTAGGCATTAGGAATTTGGGACGTTGGAATCAAGCTTCTTGCCTCAAGTTCATTTGGCTACTATTTTCAGACAAGGCTATGATAGTTTGGTTTAGATCGGAGATCCTACAAGGCAATATTAGTAACTTCTGGACGATTAAGCAAAAGCAATCTCACTCTTGGATGTGTAAAAAACTCTTGAAACTAAGAAATGTTATATATTCTTGGATAAAGCTAAGAGTGGGAAATGGTCTTACCATAAGATTTTGGACTGACAACCCTGTTTAGGAATGCTGCTACATACTTATTTTCCACTATAACCTCACACCTTTGAGTCCCTTTAAACGCAACTTTAGGTCCATGTTTGTTGATGGCTCCTGGACACTTCCACCTGCGAGATCAGATCATCAGTTGAACCTTCTTTACTACTGTCTCATTTCAAGATCAATATGATTACTATGAATATGAGTTTGATGGCAAAACAATATTGGTCTATTCTACTCGCCAAGTTTATACCCTTCTAAGTCCAACTTTGACACAAGTGCCTTGTTTCAAATCTGTGTGGATCAAAAGAGGAATTCCAAGACAAACTTTTCTCATCTGACTTTTTTTCTTGAATAGATGCCCAACTAAGGACAGACTCATTAGCTGGGGTCTCCAATTTACTCCATCATTTATGCTCTGAAATTCAGCGGATGAAACTCGCTGCCACGTAATGTTTGATTGCCCCTTCAGTTTTGTTGTTTGGAAAACGATGGCTTCAATATGTTCCCTCAATACTTCACGATCATGGGATGCAACGCTGCAAAGCATGCAAAGCCTTCTGTATAAGAATTTTACCTCGCAACTACCCCTTTGGTGCTAGCAAGTTCGATCTATGCAATTTGGACTGAAAGAAACTTGAGACTTTATCGAAACATCTTCCGCGACTCCAACTACCTGATCAAGCAAATTAATCTTCTCTTGCCAAATCGGATCTCTTCTATCCGGCCAAACAACCCTCGACTTTCATCATATTTGATGCTACTTTGGCTCTCCAAAACTTAGGAACTTCCCCCCATCATTCTCCTCCATCTCTCTATATTCTGATACACTATAGTCCAGCTATTTTGGGCTTGAATATTGTTCAACTAAATTCTAAATGTGCTACTTAAGTATTCTGTATTGTGCCGGTCCCGAAAATACTGAGGCTAGAAACTTGTCTATGTTTTTTTCTTTTATGCATTTATAATATAAGAAAGCCAAATTACAAAAAAAAAAAAAAGACAATCAACTCTGATACAGGGTCCAACATACCGTCGTGAGTTCCTCTCTCTCTATATATACCATGTATAGTTTCATATGAATATTTTTAATATGAATATCTATTAAATGATAATTTTATTCATATAATTTTATGATTATTTGCATTTTGTTATAACAAAAATTTAAACCATTGGTAAGAAAAAATTTAATGTAGAATTTTAAACAATTTTAGTAATTTAATTTTTTTCAAAAAGTAAAATATAACATATGAAAAATATAAATTTTTATTATATGGTAGATATGATTTTTATTTTGTTTTAATAATATTAAATTAAACTAAAATGATGAAAGATATAAAAAATGCTAACAAATCTTTATTATTTAAAACCATTAATAACAATATATTTTGTGATCATATTTAGTAATTCCATAATTTAATTTTCTTTAAAAAAAGGAATATATCATTTTTGTATATATTAATTAATTTGTATCTAGTTTAATAAAAAGTATAATATATGTTTAAATAGATAAATTTAATTATCAAGTGATTCTAAGAATCATTTTGAGATTATATATGTCATAGTTCAAAAGTTGTAATATTTATTTTTAATATATAAGAGATTACATGCTTAAATTTGGATTTCAGTCAAAATAATTAACATTTAATCCCATTTTCCCATTTTCTATAAGAAAGAAACGTATACTCTATGAAAAAAATATATGTTTTCTGTAAATTAAAATATTTTCTTTTATCAGAGGAAACCATATCTATGTTATTATTTCTCAGTAAAAAAAAAAGAACAGAAAATTCAATAAATCTGAAGATAAACTAGAAAAAAAAACTGAAAGTTCATATTTTTATTTTAAAAGGAAAATTTCATCTTATCAGTAATAATTTCGTACAACTATAAATAAAACAAAACTTATCCTTTTTGGTTAATTTTGTATTGGCCTTTTTCTGTATAATTTAGGGATTTCCAAATAAATAGGATACGTTTTGTTATTTTTAATGTTTTCAAAACTTTTTTTACTTTGTAAAGAAAAGTGTCTATTGTTTGGGTAAGGAAAAAAATCATTGTACTTTTAAAATTGCCGGTCATGAAAATCATAAAAAAAATTTAAAAGGACGTGAGAGAGAGAGAGAGAAGAAGCCAGAAGCTACAGAAAGGCTACACAGTGTCGAAAAGATCGCATCATTCACAACCGTTGGATCTTCATTTCTATCTTCTTCCTCCCTTCTCTCTCCCTCTCTCTCTCTCTCTGCCATCTGACCTGTGGGTTACAGATATTCAAACAACTCACCCCCTATCCTTCGCCTCTCTCTCTGGATTCTAAATTAGCTGATTAGGGTTTCTCGATTTGATTCAAAACCATTACCTGTTCAAGTATCAATCTCAAGAGACGAAGATAAGAGATAAACGAGGGATCAATGACGGATTCGAGCGTGGAAATGGCACAAATCTTGGCGACGGCGATGACGAATTGGTGGGACGAGGTGAACGAGTCAACTCAGTGGCAAGATGGGATCTTTTTTGCTCTCTGTGGTGCTTACGCTCTTGTCTCCGCCGTCGCTCTTGTACGTTCTCAAAGTCCTCGTCTTTTGGATTAAAAATCAATCCTTTTTGCTTTCTCTAGGTTCTTGATTTGAGGTGTGTTATTAGGGGTCAAATCATTGAGTGTTTGTTTTTATGAAACATCGTTTTCTTCGGATTGGGGAAAGTTATGTACTTTTATTGGGTGTGTTGCAATTGTTGACATTTGTTTGAATTTGGGTTGTGGTTGGCAGGTCCAGTTGGTTAGGATACAAATGAGAGTGCCTGAGTATGGTTGGACTACTCAGAAGGTCTTTCATCTTATGAACTTTGTCGTCAATGGAGGTGATGATGATCTTCTCTGTTTTTTTTTTTTTTGTTTCTAGTTCCTTTGGATTATTGTTTCTGACCATTTTTTATCTCTCTCTGTGTGCAGTTCGTGCTGTTCTATTTGGGTTTCACCATCAAGTGTTTCTCGTGCATCCTAAGGTGAGAGTCTGCATAAGTTTTGAGTGAGATTAACCGCTTCCGATTTTAGAAAACGGAAATGATAATATGTTTATGTCTATCCTGTATCTCTGCTCAACTTATGTGTTGTTGTTTGTTTGATTTTTTGAAGGCTGAGTCTTTAAAGTATCTAATGTTCTTGATGATGTAATGCAGGCTCTTTGCTGGATACTATTGGATCTTCCTGGGCTCCTTTTTTTCTCTGCATATACGTTGCTCGTACTGTTTTGGGCAGAGATATATCACCAGGCAAGTACCTTGAAAGAATTATTTTTTTGATGTACCCTACCACACAAACTCTGAATATATATATATATGTTTGTTGACATTAATGAGCAGGCAAGAAGCTTGCCAACGGATAAGCTGCGGATAACCTATATTTCAGTCAATGTGGCTGTATATCTGGCTCAGGTTCATGCTTGATTCTTGTCTCATTAATTTGTAGCCATTTAGTTGCTACAAAGAGTCTGTGTGAACCTTTCTCACTTTTGTAGAGTGAATCGAAAGATAAGTTTGATATTGTAATTGATGTCTCTATCAGGTGGTTATCTGGGTGTGCATATGGGTAAATGATAACAGCACTGTAGAGTTAGTTGGAAAGATGTTTATGTCAGGTAGGTTTTGCTTAGCCTGTTACTGCTCAAACTTTAATAACTCTCCCTCTTATCTGATCTCTGTATTGATTTTTTTTTTGTTCTGTATTTGACTTCTTCTTCTAGTTGTGTCTTTCATCGCTGCGTTAGGTTTCTTGCTTTACGGAGGAAGGTAGTGTTTTTATTATCTCTCTGCTTGTCTCTTAATCAAAGAGTCTGAAAGTTCAATGACTTTTCTTATGTGTTCCCTTGTATGCTATTTAGATTGTTCTTTATGCTAAGAAGGTTCCCTATTGAGTCAAAAGGAAGAAGGAAGAAGCTCCATGAGGTATCGTTGTCTTAGTTTCACAGAACATTAAACATAGACATCTTTGCCTTCAAGTTTGATTACCTTTTGTGTTAAAAATGTGATTCACTGCAGGTTGGATCTGTGACAGCCATATGCTTCACCTGCTTCCTCATAAGATGCATTGTGGTAAGCTCTTAGATATATTTAAAAAAAAAAAGAAATATATATCTTCAATTGTTGTGCTGATGATTGTTTCTTTGTATGTAATCCTTGAAAAAATTTCAGGTGGGTGTATCAGCATTTGACAGGGATTTAACGCTGGATGTTCTTGATCATCCGGTTCTGAACTTAATCTATTATATGGTTAGTAACTAAGACCATCAATACTTCTCTCTCTTAATTATGCACTATACTAATTGGAAGAAGAAAAAAATGGGAATGTGCACAGGTGGTTGAAGTACTTCCATCGGCACTAGTCCTCTTTATTCTGCGTAAGCTACCTCCAAAGAGAGTATCAGCTCAATACCATCCAATCCAATAGACTTCTGTCTGAAGCCTATCACACGGTGAGTCTGATGATGTTTCAAGAGAGAGTAGAGAATCAGTTGGGGGCAAAAAGACTAAAGAAGGAGAAATCGTTGTGGAATCTGCGTAAGTTTTTGGATTGCAAGATCATAAATGATTTTACAGCTTTAGTACTTTCATGTTACTACTTTGAAAAATCTGGTCAGGACAAGAGGTTTAACATTTGTTTGGAGTGTTTATGTTATATTGGGATTGAAAATAAACAAACTGTTTAATTTGGTCATTAACTTATTGGTATCATCTTCTTCACTTTTCTGAGTATATATGTTTTCGCATCCAATATTTTATCTGGGTAAGCTGGGTTAAAATCCAGTTTCTGTAATGAGGTTTGAATAAAATCTTTTTTTTTTTTTTTTTTTTTTTGAATGAATGTTAAATTTTATTCATCAAAAAAGCCTTTTTACAACAAAGTGTAGACAAGAGTTTATCTAATTTTCTCCATCACCNACACAAGCTTGAAGTGCATATCTCAAACAGAACAGAGTTTTCTTCTCACTTATCCCGTCTGTCACCAGTCTCACAATCTCAGACCAACTATTAGTATAAACATTCCGCAACATACCTCTAGTGAGATGCTCCCATAACTGAGTAGAAAAGGAACACTCAAAGAAGATATGATCACGCGTTTCTGCAGCTTGTTTACACAGCACACACAAAGTGTCAACACTCTGGTTCCATCTATGGACTCTATCCATTGAATAAAATCTTTTGCATTTTGCTATTTATTTTCTGCAAGTAATCAGTTCTTTTTGTGATTACATATCTATGGGCAAAAGTGATGATATTGATTCACTGTAATATTTCCTTCTAACGTTAAAAAAACTAGATTTTTCAATATAATTTAATAGCATCTATACTATTATTTGCGAAGTGATTTTTCGCAACGGAGCTCTCATGTTAAAAGTTGGAGTGGTTAATATCGTTTATACCCTTAATGAATAAAATATATAAATCAGCCAAAAATAAAAAATGAATTTATATTTATTTGATTAGATAAATGATTTAAACTATAATAATGATAAGAATTATCTATAATCTGAATATATATTTAAAAATAAAATAAAAAGATAATTCCTATATATATTGTGTTGTTATCAGAAAAATATATTTAATTAACATATAATCAACCATAAATTAGAAACAAATTTCACTGATTTGATGACTATTATTATCTAAAAATAGTTGATATTAATAAACCATAAACTAAAACTGAATTAATATAGAAGTAACAATAAATTAATTATATTTAAAAAATGAATTTGCTGATTTATCATATTCTCCATAATTTTATGTAATTATACTTATTTATCATGTTTTTATGATTTTGACTAATAATTAACTATTACCCTTAATTAATGACTAAATACAATTATTATTATATAATTATGAACCCTATATTAATTAGATTTACTACCCTTCCCTTAATGACAAAGCAAACATAAACTTAATAACTAATTGGATTTATTACTATATAATGACAAATTAGATCTATTACTATATAATAATTAGAAACAAATCTTATTTATCATGTTTCTTATGATTTGATGATTATCATTATCTAGACTAATGATTATAATAAATCTAATTATTCATTATATAGTAATAAATCTAATTAGTCATTAAGTTTATGTTTGCTTTGTCATTAAGGGTAGTAAAAATCATAAAAACATGACAATTAGATTTACTATCTTTAATGGCGAAGAAAACATAAAATTAATGACTAATTAGGTTTATTACTATATAATGACTAATAGTTATTACTATTTGACCAAAAAAAAAGATATCTTGCTATATAATAATTAAAATTTTCAATATATAATTAAACACAAGTAAAAAACGAATTTCAATGATTTTAGATTTATCTTGATCTAAAAATATTTTATATTGGGTTATAAAATCTTTATTCGAAACAAACATCAAACTAATGACTAATTAGATTTATTACTATATAAGGACTAATAGTTATTACTATTTGACCAAAAAAGATATCTTGCTATATAATAATTAAAATTTTCAATATATTATTAAACACAAGTAAAAAAAGAATTTCGATTATTTTAGTTTTATCTTGATCTAAAACTATTTTATATTGGGTTATAAAATCTTTATTAACCTTGAAATATAATTATATTTTTAGTAATATCATTAATTATAAATTAAAAACGAATTTCATTTATTTGACAATTATCCTTATTTAATTTTTTTATACAATGTCTTTATCAACATTGAAAAATAATTCTATTTAAAATAATTATATTTGTTAAATTAAAAACGAATTTCATGATTTTGATAATTATCATTATCTATTTTTTTATATTGTGTTGTAAGTCTTTATTAACCTTGAAAAATAATTATATTTAATATATATTTAATTATGAAAAATTAATTCGCAAAGAATTTATGTATAGATAGTTTACATTACTAAAGATAATTTTATTATACTTTTTTTATGTCTAAAAATGATATTAATTTATTACTAAATATTTTAAATTTATGAGTATTTTCATATTTAATTTTTGTAGTGACAATTATTTATATGATGATGAAAAATTTTATATATAGAAAAAATTGTGTAGATTATTATTAAATATTTTGAGTGTATGAAAAATAATTTATTATAATTTACTTAAATTGATTATATTTGTTTATAGATATTAGAAAATTATTAAGCCCGCAAGTGCGGGCAAAACACCTAGTCTTTTTTGTAATCAACTTGTTACCATTTTAACTTTATCCACGATTTTCTACTTAAACTATTACACGTGTCAGGGAAAAAGTTAGTATGTAGGGAAAGAAACATCCCACATCGGAGAGACAGAGAAAGTATGGCTTGTTTATATATGTCTAGAAAGCACCATAGGTCACGACCTTACTTGAACAGGATCTGTTCTATAGGCTCGTACCTCTGTATCCTTGATTTCTAAGGAGACAGGCCCAATACCCTGGTTGATGAATCATAGCCGTGCGATTTGAGTGTGATTAACGGCTACGATGGTCTTCGGACTTTCCGAGCTGTAGAGGATCGCTACCTAGTCTGGTCTTGACCTAGCTAGGGTGGTCGCACGGTTGTCTGACAGGCTTCTTTTTTTTTTCCAACTTCGTCCTATTCAAAACTTAATTTATTAACTCGTCCTCAAACGTTTAGTTTATTATATCTTCGCCCCAAACTTTTTGCCTTCCACTTAATTTACTAACTCGTACCCAGACCTTTGATTTATTATATTTTCACCCCACCCATTTCATTTTCTTCTTAACACCCAAATATTTTCACCACCAAAACGAAACCTCGCTAAAAACCCTAAACAATTAATATATGGATGTGTGATATACATAATACATATATATATATATGACTAAACCAAATTGTGAAACCAGTTTCTTTCATCGTTTGGTCTGCCACACATTTGATTCAAACAAGCGTGTGTATGTGTTGAACCTTGACCCTGATGCTATGACTACCATTTGGTGCCAACATTCAATATAAAGGGCACAGTCAAGTACAACGAAGCTATGAAGCAGTAGAGTTTGGGGCCTAATGGTGACATCTCTCAGCTTGTTTGCTATTAAATTCGACGAGTTAATACAATAATACTCTGAAACGATGACTTCATCGATGCGGTTCTCTGAATTGTTCCGTCTTTTGCCACTTGTTATAGGAACAAAAACGTTATATTTTAGACTTTATCAAGTGGCTTTAACAGGTTTTATCGATCCTTGATATACTGAAACTACTTGGCTAGGTATCTTAAAATGGCGTCAGCCAGCTTGATTATTGTCCTTGTGGATACTCATGGCAAGATAGAGATGATGCTAGTGGAGGATGGATGATGACTTTCAGAGCTGAATCGTTTCTATCTATTAAATAAACTCAAAAAACATATCTTTTAGACTTTATCAAGTGGCTTTAACTGGTTTTGTCGTGTCCGTGCCTTGTTTCTCTGTCGTAAAAGTTAAGCCATGGAACTGAATCTCTTTGTGAGACATTGTCTAACGATCTGATGACTATTATAATAAAACTAGAATCTTCGGAGATTTTGTACACAACTTGCGTGTTCATATATGCACAAAGGCAGAGACATAAAAGGTCAGACATAAAGATCAAGTTACTTGAACTGTGCTGTATGGCTGTTTTTTTTTGTGTACGCCAACTTAGTCTTGGTGGATTTCATGAAAAGGCGCTTATCCTTTAATCAATGATAGAGAAACCAAGAGGAACGTGCAATGATTCTGTCACTCCATACGTAGACCTTAAGAACAGAGGAAAGATGTTAGGATGATATTAAAGAAATGGTTTAGGACTTGCTGCAGTATGGAGAGGTAGAAGCTGTTACCATCATGAAACTCAATTAGGAAGATGATTTTGGAGAAAGAGACGTACAAGAAAATCAATTGCCAAAGACTAACAAGTGCATGTCTATATTTCAAACTTAGTCGTGGTTCTGCTTTGAGTTTTGTTTGAAGTGAATTGACCAGTGCTTCTTGATTCATGAGATATGATGACTTCACAAAATCTCATAAGATATACATGGTGCTGGCACACCAAAATTACACAGGCCAGACTTCTGATCGAGATCAATAGTGTACTTCAGAGTAATTTCTAACAACATTATTCACCAGCGTGGATAAAAACTTACTTATGATTATTGACAAATACAAAGAGTCTCAAGACTTTGATTCAACCACATTATTACAAGGTTGCGTTTCCGGGAGCGAACTTGAGGGAGACACTGTTGACACAGTGTCGCTCATCGGTAGGAGTAGGGAAGCCTTCTCCTTTGAAAACATGACCCAGATGTCCTCCACATGCTGCACATGTGATCTCTATTCTCCTCCCATCTGGATCCGCCTGAGTAAACATGTACAGAAAATAAGATATTTTTCAGTTTCTCAAAAAACCATGAATGATGTCTTGATTTTGAGAATCTTACGGTTCGGTTAATGGCGGCGGGAAGGCCGTCAAAGAAAGCAGGCCAGCCACAGCCAGAGTCGAATTTGGTTGCGGACTTGTATAGAGGAGTACCACATCCTGCACAGCTATAGATCCCGTCTTGGAATAGTTTGTTGTATTCCCCTGTCCCTGGATATCTAAATTTGACACGTGTAGACCACAATTAAAAAAAAAATGATGCTATAGAAACTTGGGACTCTACTTGGGAAAAATTAAGAGGCTAAGACATTCATTGACCCTTCAACCACAGAGAAATTTCTACTAAAGATTCTTCTGCTTATTGCTGTTTAATGCAAGAGAACCAAGTAGGACTAATGCATAAAAAATCAAGATACAAGAGTGATTTGCATTGTCATGTCTAACAGAAAAAGAGTAAGGTTCATAACAACTAAAAGGACCAGCAGATACAAGAGAAACAGAGTTATAATGTGAAAGGAAAAAAAGGTGAAAACTCTACTCAAGTTGTTCAGCTTATTAGAGAACCAAGTTATAATGTTAGAGAACCAAGAATGACAAAGGCACTCAATGTATGCTTCTAAAAACAAATGAGTACATGACACATCAGAAACAGAGTATTAGAAAAAAGGTGAAAACTTTGTATTGAAAGTTTTAAACTTTCAGAAAATGAGTCTCATGATTGTAATCAAGAAACATTTTTTGTTTTCAACCAAACCACTGTGACATCGATATATATATATCAATAAACATGACACTTACTCAGTGCCTTTCTGCCTCAAGATCCTGAATTGCTCAGGAGAGAGAATCGCACGCCACTCCTCCTCTGGTTTGTTAACGGATCCGGGAGCAGAAGAAGCCATTGCTGTGATACGACCACCGTGGAAACCTCGACGGAGCGATGACGGAGAGGCGGAGAGACGAAGGAGGTTGAGATTCTGCGGAGGGAAAGCGGATCGATGGGGTGTGACGAAGGCTTTAATGGTCAAACAAGTGGCTGAAGATAGACGCACAGATGATTGTATGACGTTCAACGCCATCCTCGCGTTTTTATCTCTTTCCTCCTCACTTTCCAGTTTCCAGGTAGCTTTTTATCTCAAATCTTCACTTTTATTTGGGCTTCACTTTTTAAGGCCCCTTAAGCCTAATCTTCACTCTTTATTTTTGCTCAGCTTCACTCATGCATACGAAGAGAAGACAGTTTATCTGCGATTTTTGTGGTTTGATAGTTGGAATTTGGAAATATGATTTTGATGAAACATAATTATAAGGTTTGGTGAAAAATTGAAGAAAACACGAGTTTATAACTTGTGGGAAAAATGCGATTTTATAACGAAGCTGTGGTTGATAACTTATTATATAATAAGTTACAAACAAAGCATATATTAAAAAAAAAATGGTCATATAATAAGTCAGTAGCTGAAACAAAACTAAGTCAAATTGTGATATTTTGGAAGATTACTTATCAAGTCAATATGTAACACTATACTCATTCCATCCATTGTTCAAACTCCCAAGTACTAATCCAAGCCACTAACTCACAACAAGAAAAAATCTACTTAAGGAATCTCTCGCCTCCAAGGCTTTATGTTAAGCTTACTTTGTTTGTAACGTTAGAACTTAAAAGAAACAAATGTTTGCATAACCAGATGAAGAAACAGTTTTACAACAAAAACTGAAAGTCTGTTAAACAAAGAACTGAAACAAGATGAAACATAAATATATTGGCGACTATTAACTCTTAACTACTGAACTGATGGAGTTGCTTCTTCTACAATTGCACAGTCCACTTTCTTGTCTTCTCCTTCAAACAACTTTGCTATCAAACCACTATTGGACACAGAGCTTTTAGGATCTGTCTCCATTTCGGAGCCATTGTTGTTGTTGTTGTCTCCACTCAATATACTCTTGTTCCCAAGCTCTAGCTGAAGCCCCTGTGGCACGTTCTCTCCTGAACCACCCGGCTCCACCGCCATAAGATCAAACCCACGAGCCTCACCAGGTGATTTCTGTTGCTCTTCAGTCTCTTTCTGTGCAAGATTCTCTTGATCAGTCACCATCGTCTTCGGCTCTGGAGCTGGAAAAAACTCCACCAGACGAGTCGTAGCTTCGTCATTGCTCTCCTTGGACATTAAAGACAAAGCTCGAGCAGGTTCAGAAATCTCTAAATCAGTGACAACATCTTTCACTGGTTCATCATTAGGAGGTAGAGACTGATCATCACTTTGGTTCTTGATTTCTTCTTTAGTGAACATTTTAACGTTAGGAGCCACGTCGTTTGCTGGAGTCACTGGAACAACTTTCCCCCGTGCGAACACGAAACCTCTCAGTTTAGTGTCACTGTCATCAACTTTGACGTTAAGAATGTACCCCGCGTCGAAAGATCCTGCGACCACACCAGAGACCGTCTTACCAACTAAATTAACGTCATGATTTGGAGTCACACGAGCATTTTCTTGTTCATCTTTGCGTGGACGACCTCTCTTTCGCTTCGCCAAGAGATCATTAACAACAGGAGGAGGTGAGCTTGTGGTGGCTAGATCCAACGGATTCATTCTACACATAACAACAAAAACAAATAAAACGTGATTTTTGTTTTGTTTTCATACGAAAATATATTTTGTATTCAGGAACAAATCGGTCAGTTATGATTCTAAACACAACAAATACTCACTAGAATGTAATACCATACGAGAAGATTAAAAAAACGGAGATGACAAACTAATAGTAACAATTAAATGTAACACATTCAAAGTTTAACTCTGATTATTTACATCGCAAATCTACAGAACATTCTAGGGTTTCACTCTGATTCAATCTAATTGGTATATATATTTTCATTGGAATTATGGAACTGATTTAATTAAGACCATATCAGAATATAGTAAAAACCTAAGGATCAAGAGATCCATATCATTTCAGTATAAGAAAGTTTTAAAACAAAATCAAATGAAGATTCGTAGCATTAAACCGAGAAACTAATTAAGAAAAATTGTGGATCAAACCTTTGTATGATTAAACATAGAAAAGACCAGAAGTAATGTTTGATGTTTAATGTTCTTAATTACCTTTCAACCCAATTCGAGACTTCAATGTTCTCTCAAAATACAATCACAAATGTAAGCAATTGAGTGATTTTGGTATTATTCTTTGGCTACCTTTTCCCTTTGCTTAGTATTTTTCCTCCTCCTCTCCTTAAGGTTTTGTTCTCTTGCACTTTCTGTGGCCTTTGATTTCATACCTTCTCATTCCGATTTATACGCAACATAATGGGCTTTTTCCTTATGTATTAATTTTTTGTACTTTTATATTTATTTACGTTTAAAACGAGTATCTTCTTTTTATTCAAGTTGGTTCCTAGGAAAACTAACTTTTGTTTGTATAAATTGCCAAACATTCGTTCATTCATCTTCTTTGTTCTTCTCCTTACAGAAACCATTTACAATGACAGCTCAATTGAGATAAAAGAAAAGCCTGCTCTAAAACTGATACACTACCAATATATAAAAGAAACTATTGTGAAGCAAAGCTTGGTTAACTTGGTTGTTCCCATAAAGCTGAGAGTAGAAACAGTGGCGGGGCCAGCTAGACTTTGTCGAGGGGTCTATTATATTTATAAATATATAACATATGAGATAACTAAAAATTGTAACATTTTCTTAGTTATTAACTTCAACTACATGAAAAAACTTTTTCTTTTTTTTTCAAAAATCCACATGGGTCATTTGACACCCCTCACAACAAGCTAGAAAGAGTGTTGGTGTGAGCAGCAGAGAGAGTTATATTTTTCCTGTCAAGGGCTGCCAGCTTTGCCCTTATGAGAATGATGATTTCCTTTTTTATGATTGAGCATGCGCCTTAGGAGGATTTTGGTAAGTCGACTGTTCCTTTTCCTTCCAAACAAAATAAATTGAGATTGAGAATCAATCTCAGCTTCTGATCTTGAGTCACTGATTGAATCCACAGCCGGGTGGAATGAATAGCAAAAGGTGGGCTTAAGTTGGATTGGGAGAAGATAAATTGCCATATTTGACACGCAAAGGAGCAAGGGAAAAAGAGGTGTGATCGAGACCCGTTTCCAACTTCACAAAGTAGGCATTGTTCCGAGGTCAATAATCCACATTCAATAAGTCGATCTCTTGTGAGCAGTCGTTTATGAAAGACAACCCACATATTAAAAGCATGCTTTCGGATATTTCCTGAGAACCACACAAATTTTTAATTTCTTCCTCTCTAGAGAAATCTTCTTCCTCTATATCCTCAACTCTAACTTAACTATGTTTCCTAATAAATTTAGTTCATTCATTTAGATATGCTGCATCACTGATCAGCTTTAAAGGTTTACTAGATTTTGACCCGCGCTTTTAAATCGCGGGTTTATTATATTTTTTGATAAAATTTATTTGAATTAATAAATTTTATTTTAACACAAAAAATTGTTCTACTAATATTAAAATGTTCTATTATCTTGTTTGATTTTCACGTATTGTGTGTTTTCATATCTGATTTAGACCACAGTTGAACCGGTATATCCAACAATTTTTGTATAGTCCAGTAAGATTTAATGAAATTTTATTAATTAAAATTTTGATAAAACTGGTAAATATGCAAAAACCCTCTATTAATCCGAAATATAATATTTGTAGATCTGCTAAAAGTCCCATAAAAACTGATAACATTTTATAAAAAAATAGTAAATAACACATACTTTTAAAATTAAAGAAAATTGATTTTTTTGTAATTTCTTAGAATTTAATGAATTTATTTTTATTTGAAAAATGAAACAATGGTAATAGAAGAAAAATATTTATATAACAATATCTGTTTTTCATTATTAATAACCTATGATTACTTTACATTTTTACTTATTAAATATCTAAAAGGTAATTTATTTAAAAAAATTGAATTGGTATATCCATATTATGACATAGTAAATAATAATATTTAATTTTTGATCGCTAAATGATATTATGCATGAAAATAAGATATTAAAATTAAAAGAAAGTATAAATTGCATAAAAATAAATTATTATTAAACACAAAATCAGAAAATTATTAATTACCATAAATATAGGAGAGATTTAGTTATTTAGTTTAAATAAATAATAATTATATTAAAATTAAATGCTAGTGGCATATCTTTGTAAATAATTCAAAAACTATGGGCAGAATCCTAGGAGGGATTCTGCTTTAATAGTATAGACTAGATTTTGACCCGCGCTTAAAAAGCGCGGAGATATATTTACGATTTAGATAAAATTTGATTAATTTTATATATTTTATTAAAAATAAAAAATTTTAAAGTTTGTATATTTGTGTTTCAAAAAAATTTGTTCTATTATATCCAAGTTTCAGGAAATGTTTTCATATAACTGCTACCAACTCATCATGGCCACTTCCTGGCCGAGTAAATCCGATAGCTATTAACAATGACTCGATCAAGGCTGAAAAAATGCTACCAACTCATCATGTAGTGGATTTTTCGTTTGTACTCTCAAAGGTCCTTAGTTAAGTCTTGTCGGGTCGAGTCCTGTCTAGGAAGTCAAGTTTGTCGAGTCGTCTAGTGTCTAGAGTCATTTCTATTCATGTTTTACGATTCCGATAAAATTTGATTGATTTTATAAATTTTATTAAAATAAAAAATTTTAAAGTTTGTATATTTGTGTTTCAAAAAAAAATTCTATTATATATAATTTTCAGGAAATGTTTTCATATTCGCTTCAGACCGTCGTTGAACTGATAGATCCGGCGATCTTTGTTTAATCTGGTTCAGATTTAATAAAAGGTCAATAGTTAAAATTAAATAAAATCTTGTAAAAGTCGAAAACCTGTTATTAACATGTGATCCAATGTTAGATGATTTGCTGAAAACCAAAAAAAAATGATAATATTTTGATTAAATAATGCATAATACCCCCTCTGTTTTATTATAAGTGTCATTCTACAGCTGTGCACACAAATTAAGGAAATAATTAATTTTACATATTTTCTATATAAAAACACAATTACCCATACACCTAACCATATTTTAACCAATAGAAAAACAAAATTTCACCTAAAATTAATAAAGTTTGCATGGAAAACCGAAAACGACATTTAATATAACGCAAAAAATTCTCTATAACGACACTTAATATAAAACGGAGGGAGTAAGACTTAAAAATTGTAATATCATATACTTTAATGAATTTTTTATTAAGTTATTTAAAATAAATAACGGTAATATAAAAAGTAAAATTTATTGATATGACAATATTAGTTTTTTCATTTTTAATAACTTATGAAAGTTATTACTGTTTATTTTAGATGTAAAGTTTTGATTTTATGATAAGTTTTAATATATTTTTGAAGGTTCAAAATTAGCATATTAGTATAATGTAAAAATGACACAGTAAATAATATTTTATTTAAATTTTCACATATATATATATATATTCAAATTTGCTTGTTTAGTAATACTAAACAAGAAAAATAATATTCAAATTTAATGGAAATTATTATTTGCATAAAATTAGAATTATATTATTTACAAAATATGGATAATATTAGTTGCCAAAAATATAGGAAAAATTCTGTTGTGTAATTTTAATAAATAATATAGAATTAAAACTAAATTCCAGTGGCATGGCAATGTAATTAATTTAAACTAATAAGGGCAGAATCCTAATAGGAATTCTGATTTAATAGTATAGATTGCAAAAAGAAGTTGATTGTGGTGCAATTGTACTACCTTTTAGATGGTTGGTTCGAGACTTGTCGGGGCATGCGCATATTTATTTTGCTTTAAGCGGCAGCAATTTATTTTAGGTAGTTGGTTCGATACTTGTCACTGGAAATAATGTACGTAGTAGCTAGTTTGCCTAATTGTCTCATGAGAATCATATAAATTCTCTCTATTCATCTAATTAAGTCTGCGAGTTACTAAATCGATTCGAATCCAGTAGTTCTAAGAATTGGATTAAATCGATTAGGTTGAGTTTATTTAGGATTCGAGGTGGGTTGAATTTTTTTCCTAAGAAATATAACCCTAGTTAATGAATTTGTGCATGAGTAGATGAAAACTTTACAAAATCAAAAGAAAACAGTTTACAACATATGTCAGTCGTTGTTGCATGTCACCATACATTAGTTATTCTACAATGTGGTTAAACATGTATTATTTTAGTTGAAATTAGCGAACCATATCATTCACGATTCATGCACCTCGCAAACATTTATTTCAATTTAGTTTAGTAATGGATCCTTCTTGTCTTCCCATATATCCAAACGCGTTCTCGCCTTTTTAACCTAAATCATCATATGATAATAATAATTTTTGTAACACACCAAAATCAAAACTTTATAAAATATGATTTAAAGCCATGAATGTGATGTGACTTGATATAATGTAACACGTACCTCTGTATCCCAATCCGTTCGATACGTGACGTAAAGTAAGATAAGGGTTTGCATGAGGGTACCTCCAATCATTCCGGTCCATATTCCCTATCCAAAATTCACCCAATGTATTTTAACTATATAGATAAAAGCATATATTAACTATTGAAAACGAACCTTGGCTTGCATATTGAAAACGAATCCGAGAACACAGCCAACAGGAATACCAACAACATAGTAACAACCAATATTCACATATGCCACGAATGTCTGCCATCCACATCCCACTGCCACTCCTACAAACATAGATACACCAATTCTTGGTTTATTAGCTCCGGTTCGGTAACCATATAGAATATTTTATCAAAAAAAAAACCATATAGAATTTAATATACACCGGATTTCTCCGGATTAAGCTAAAAAAAAGTGCATGTATATACCGGACAAGACAGGCTGGATTCCGTTGAGAAGGATAGTAATAGCTAGAAAGGGACATAGCTCAGAGACGGCCTCAGCCACCTTAGAGTCTGAAATGAATATGTAGCCGACGTAGTCACGCGACGCCATAAGGGCAAGGGCCTCAACGAGGGAGATCACAAAGGAAACAAAAGTAGCCATCCATGAAGAGAACATCGCTGATTTTGGATGTTCTGCTCCAAGTTCATTACTTGTTCTTACACTGTATATTTTTTTTCAAAAAAATAATAAAAATGATTAATATAATTTATTTCAGTATCATCTGATCAGTTTTTAGTAAAAGACCTTAAAAAGTTAAAATATGTCATTTTATATTAAAATGTACAATTCAGTTTAATAATCGTAATTTAAGTTTTAGTGATAATGTTGAACGAGAGGTCAAAACATAAATATATAATTATTTAAAGGGGTTTTACATTAATTATAGTTGAGCAATTTGTGCTCTAAAAACTTTGGGTTGAAATAGGCATTACATGGTGTTTCTTATACTTTGAATCGCATCGATTTTATTTAAAAAAATTATAAAAATATTTTAAAATCTATATTACATTTTATAAATATTCAGTTTTATTAAAACTATGGATATTGTAATTTAAATATGTATAAATATAATCACAACTATAAAATAATCTTAAGTTTAAGTTAGATTATCTCGATTTACAAATTAAAAATACACTAAATCAGCATATCTGTTTTACAGGTAAATAAATATCGGAATATTCCGATAACAATTTTGTAAAAAGAGTTTAGTATAAAAATTGTTTAATAAACTTGTTAAAAAACACATATTTTATTTTTAAGCAAACAAATTTCATATATTTTTTGAAACTTATTTTCAATCTTCAATATCTGACCATTATTTTTGATTATACCTAATTAATTTATTTCCGATTTTTTAGTCATTAAATATCTGAGTATTCCAATAATTATTTCTACACCTAGCCCTGTTTTTTAATTATATACTAGATTTTGACCCGCGCTTTCAAAGCGCGGGTAATATACTGTTTAATTCTGAGTATCCGGATCCTCGAGTCGGGTCTGGATCGGGTTTTGTCGGGTCAATGTCTTTCGGGTCTTAGAAATTTGGACCCATATAAGTATCTATAATTTTTTGGGTCGATTTCAGATCGGGTCTTGTCAGATTTCTTGGTTCGGGTATATTATCGGGTCGGTTCGGGTATTTAGGACCCGAAAAGGATCCGAAGGACCCAAACTGGATCCCAAAACCCGAAAACTCTAAAAAAGCTCGAAGAACCGCAAAAAAAATCTGAAATATTATCCAAATTTAGACCCAAAAAATCAAAAATATATCCGGAATTTTACCCCAATACCCGAATTATATTTTTTTGAAATCTAAAAGTTTACCTAAAACCTAATATTATATTCGAAAATCCAAATCTGAAACTTTAAAAAATACCTGAATTATCAAAAATATACCCAATCACCTAAATATACCTAATATATACCATACTTTGTGGATACTTAGAATACCCGATCGGGTTTCTAGTAGGACCTGGATGAACCGAGACCTGTGGATCCAAACAAAAAATACCCAACATATACTTTAGCAATGACCCGGACCTGGATCTGTATTTTCGTGTCGGTTCTTGTTCGGGTCTGTGTCAAATACTCAGACCTATTTCTGTTGATAAATTTGTAAACTTACAAATATATAATTTTTTGTATAGATTTGAAGCCTATTTCGTTGTAAATAAATGTTAAAATTATTAGGCTTTTAATTAGCGATTTTCAGTTGAGCTTTTAATGGATGATTTTCATTAAAAATAAAAGGAAGTGGAATGTTTTGTAATTTCCTTAAAAAATCAGGGGCTGATTCATAAGCAGTCATCTGCTTTAATAGTATAGATAATTCTCAACAATATATGGTAATTTAGTTACTACCAATTGTTTTGAAAATTCCTAAGAAAATTGGTAGTCTCTTTATATTAACACACACTAGATCTTAGTAAACGTCCTAATTAATTAATTATGTTTTAGGTGCTGCAAGTGCTAAAATTATTTAGCATATAAAATAAATTTTAGTTTATTAAAAATGAAAACATACCACATTTTTTTGATATGAAACATATGTATTTTTGAAAATGTATGTATTATTATACTAATTGGTATATTTTATGTATACTAATTGGTAAATTTTATAAGGAAATACACTAGAAAATATTATCAAATGACAATTATTTATATAAGATATAATTCTGCTTAGTTGAATATACAAAAGAAATATCAGCAATTCAGCATCCAACACCACCAAGTTAAAAGAGTTAAAACTTGATCAACGTTAAAATTTAATCAATCTATAAAGAATTAAAAAAAAAACATCCTCGTTGTTGCAGTGATCAAACTCTAATTTTGGTTGATGATTTTCTATCTGGGCCATATTACTTGAGAGATATTTTAAAATACAAAAAAAAAAATCATTAGTGAATTGGATTTAATGATGAAGAAATGCTAACCTTACAGCCGCATTGAAACCAACAGAGACCATGAAAGATATTGCTGAAATTGACATACTGAAACAAAGAATAATGTTGGATAAACGGTTAAAACATTGAAAAACTTTTTTCAAAATACATATCAAAATTCGAAACAATCAATGTTTTATGGACTTACCAGATGGAAAGAGAATCTAGAGAGAGAGCATGATCGTCTAGTAAACCAGTAAGAAGAACCAGAATCTGCGAATACCACATTTCCAGACAGATCATAACAGCGGAACCAGCTGAGAGTTTAAAAAAGCTCCAAAGACCATGAAGCGATCTCCAGCTAAGACCAGTCCACGTGTGTCTGAACGTCGGACTTGTTATAATATACAAAGTCTGGGACATAACTATGAACCCCCAAGAGATAGTAAGAACATAGGCAATGCCCATAAGACCAAGACCCATTACATTAATGATGGTCCACGTCAGCAAAATCTGGAGGAGGAGGGCGGCGCCTGAAATGTAGGCGCTGGGGGTCACCACGCTTTGGGCTTGGAGGAATTTTTGAGCCGTGAAATTGATGGCGAAGGCGAATATCTGAGGAATTAGTCCGCCGATGTAAAGAGATGCCATGTGCGACACCGTTTCGGGCTCTCCTAATAGGATTAGAATCGGGTACGAGAAAGTGTACAATACTGTCATGGGCAAGCCAACCAGAGCGAGGACGATCGTTGCTCTCTGGAGATAAATCCCAAGCATCTCGTATCGGTGGGCTCCATACGCTTGCCCACATAGTGTCTCGACTGCACTTCCCATACCTAACTGTACAAACATAAAAGACCTAAAATAAGGTTCAAAAACACCAAAAAAACTGTGTATTCAAAAAAAAAACACCAAAAAACTATAATTCATTATCTAACCAAAATTCCTCTTTCTCTCTTCATTTCTCTTCCTTCTCTTTATACATTCTCTCTAAAAATCTAAATTCCACTTTTCTATATGGTTAATTAGTTCACAAATAAACCCTTAATTGTATGCTTATAATTTTTTTGTTGGAAGTCATATATACTTCATCTAGAAACTTCAAAACTTGTTAAGAATCCATCTTGTATTCCTCACTTATACTTCGTAGCATACGAGAATTCTCACAAGAGGGATTTTAAATAAACGATTATAAGAAAGAAAATATCGGACACATTTTACCAACTCAAATTACAACTAACATCAATACAAATTTTAATCAACCACAAGAAAGAAAAGAATCATTAGATGTTGATAAGAAAGTGAATGATTATTTTCTTTCGGAAATTTGAACTTTTAGACAAATTTGGTTTACAAGATTCATTTGATTAGGTTTCCATGGAATATATGTTTTTTGGGAGTAGTTGTGGATGACCAAGACCACATGCTTTCGGTTTGGATAGTACCTAGAGCACCCTCAATAGGATTTTCTCACCCAAAGTTCTCAAAATAGATATGAGAATAGATATTTGAGGTCGGATTTCCGAGAAAATTAAGATACTCAATTATTCGTAATAAAATACTAATATATATATATGTGTGTCTTTTGAATTTTTTGGGTAATAACATATTGGGGTTGCTTTTAGGACATTTGCAGTAGTGATCTCTTACCATAATTCTCAACAAAAAAAATAATTAAAAGTGTAAATAAAAGTAGAAGGTTTTTATTAAAGTTCCACATCGATAAAAGATGTGATCTTTAGGCAATATATATATTTGTATGGATAATCCTCCACTTTTGAGATAGTTTTTGGGTGTGAGTTAGGCTCATTACTAATATGGTATCAGAGTCTGTGGTTTGGCCCATCATATGATTTCCCATATAAACAGTTTCCTACCTATGTAGTATGTAAAAGTGGCACATATGCTGTAGTATTTCCGAGATGTTGGGTTTAGGATGTTTCCCTATGGACCGTTTTCCACCTACATCTCGAGAGGGGCTATTAAAGTCTTACATCGATAAAAGATGTGATCTTTGGGCAATATATATGCGTATGGGTAATCCTCCACTCTTGAACTATCTTTTGGGTGTGAGCTATATTAAATTAAATAAATAAATTAGTTATTTATTCTAGCTTCTCTAGTAAGCCAAGTGTGTTTGGTTACTAGAATAAGAATACTCTAACTCTTTATAACTCTTTGTAACGTTATTTTTGAGATCTAAGGAAAAAGTTTCTCCTTCTTTACTCTTTTCTCTCATCTCTCTCTTGTTCTTCAATCTCAAAGCTTCACTTTCTTACATGGTATCAGAGCTTTAAGCTCTTGTATACCTATTTTGCTTCCGCGATTTAACTTTGATACTCTCTTTTATTTGATTTATCAACNCTCTTGTTCTTCAATCTCAAAGCTTCACTTTCTTACATGGTATCAGAGCTTTAAGCTCTTGTATACCTATTTTGCTTCCGCGATTTAACTTTGATACTCTCTTTTATTTGATTTATCAACCTACTCCTCCTATTTTCTTTCCAGATCTATTATCTTTGTGGATAAGAAATCTGTGTTCTTGAGTTGTAAAATTTCAGGGATTGTTTCCTTGGCTTCTTTGTGTAACCAGTGGGTAATAGTCTCTGAAGATGAATCAATTCATACAAGTCAAGATTCCTGTTATTCTCAAGGGAGGAGAAAACTACATCACTTGGTCTAGATTGGCAAAAACAGCCCTTGGAGGAAGAGGTCTTTGGGAGCATATCACTTCAAGTTCTGCACCAAGGCAAATCACCCAAGGAGAAGATGGTAAGAAGATTGTAGTGGTAGATGAAGGCAAATGGGATCAGGAAGACCTCATGGTGCTGTCTATCTTGCAAAGCTCTCTTGATGGTCCTATCATGGACTCTTACTCACAATGTGAAACTCCAAAACAGTTGTGGGATACCTTGAAAAAGGTGTATGGCAATACTTCAAATCTGACCAGAATCTTTGAAGTTAAGAGAGCCATCAA